AGAGAGAGAGAGAGAGAGAGAGAGAGAGAGAGAGAGAGAGAGAGAGAGAGAATGTTTCAGTTTGAGAACAGGCAAAAGGCAGAAAGGGATTAAAGAAGAAGAAAAAGAGTTATCATATGTCATTATTTATGTGAGAAAAAAACCACCTGAAAGAACATATCACGCGCTGTGCGTGTGTGACTGAAATACAGACCTGCAAACAACAGATGGCCACAGAGACAAAACAGCCGAAACCTCTAAACAATAGAGCAATGTTTTCTTCACTCATGTAAGTGTGCCCCTTTGGCTACAATAGCAAACATGGGAAAACAGTACACGTATTTAAAGACAACACAATAAACATCCTTCGACAGCATACCTTTAAATACGCACTACACGTTGATCTACAGAAGATACATTCCAAAACGTACTTTTCGGCCGCCCTTTGTCCGTCCAAAAACGTAGATAATTTGGTCTTGTGAGGTGAAGGTCGCTATCATAATGTATTCATAAACAATGGGGCGAAACAAGTCGCAGGTAGAAAAAGTCAACGGGCTAGGAGAGATGGGTCCATGTTGACAGCGGAGTGACCTTCGGCTGACCGACTTGTGGACATGGCCCAAGTGTGTGTCCCACTCATGACTTCATCGTTTGCTTATTCTATCTATCTATCTATCTATCTATCTATCTATCTATCTATCTATCTATCTATCTATCTATCTATCTATCTATCTATCTGTTTAACAATACCCCATTTACTTCATTTCAGATGCATCCTCGAATCAAAACATTTTTGAAAAATTCAAATGTTCTCTTGCCTAAAAAGGCGTTTATTAGTTCAGTAGTCTGTTGATTTGGGGCTCTGATTCTTGTGTTGCTGCAAAAAGACTACAAAGGCACTTTCATGATCTATGGATACTTTCTAGGTATCCTTTCTCTTGACCGTTTGACTCTTTTTCTACTAGCATCAAAATAAATTTATGAATTTATTTCGAGAGGAAAATGTTCCTGCTTGTCGCACTGAAGTCAATGAATTATGTGCACTTAGATAAGTGAAATAGTGGGATTGACACAGTAGTTTTTCTTGAAAGCCCACGAGGCAATCTGAGCTTTCAGATGGATCACGGTTTGGGTGAATTCAGTTTTTTTTTAAACAACCACAATAGCACCCTCAGGTTACATAAATATTATAATGTTTATTTTTTCCAAACCAAACTGTTAACTGTGTGGTTTCGGAAGTTTATGATTTGCTAGACCTGAGCCTCGGTCGTCAGATCGACACAAAACATAGATGTACAGGAGACCTGGTGAGGCAGTAAGTATGGTATAAATGATAGCAGGCAGGTTGTGGGGTTATGGAGTGTGAGGACCACGCAATCGGCGGGAGCTTTGCCTCCTGTTGGTGGGACAGCGGACTTCTATACCCTGACACGCTAGGGGTGACCACAAACGAACCGCACGAGGAGATGGAAATAGATGCCAGGAATGATTTAATGGTCGTCACTTCTGAGGGCAACAATAGACAGGAGTGACGGAGGTTCAGAATGGATAGAGAGGGTACACAAAGTCAGCTCTCGAAAATGTGATCATGATATCACTTGTAACTGTAACGCGTCAGGTCAGAAAAGTTCTGCTCTATGCTGAAATAAAATCATAGTACTGATCAAACGTAAGAGTGGGAACATTTTTATTTTAAATGAAACATTTATTGTAAGATATGCTCTTTATAAGAGGTTTTAGTATAGGACAAAGGTCAGAACTGTTTGCATTCCCTAAGGTATCTACCCAAAAAATGACTTGGTTTTGTTTAAGTTTAGTTAAAAGTGTACGGCCTTTAAAACACAATTAGATCATATAAGTGCTGGAGATTAGAAGCTAACTAGAGATATTTAGTTGCAGAAAGTTTTACGGCACTCGAAACACACTAATGTCATTACTGTTGTTGCGAAAATTAGAGGTGTTACAAGAGAGTAACAAACACAAAGAGAGATAAGAACGACATATGTTTGGTAGGAAAGAAGGGTAGGGGCACACCACACCCGAGCACCCACCAACCTCCCACTCTAAGAGAGCAACACACCTAGATAAGAAGGATGACGGATACTGACGATAATATGTTTGATAGAAAAGAAGAAGTAAACCACACCAAAGCGCCCACCAACCACCCACTAAATACGTGTTCCCAAAGATAATTATATCCACCCAATAAATGCATACAAAATATTCAAATTTCTCCCGTAGCGAGCAAATAGTACTTAAATTACTTACCTGAGTTTAGAAAATGTCACAAGAAGATAGTAAAGTCTCCATTCAAGGCTGGGGTGGATAGATGCGACCATTTAGAATTATTCCATTGTTAAGTCCACAAAAAGAGTGTGTAGAGAAACGAGTAAAATATGAATTCCACTGCAGTGACACAGAACAAAGTTATCCAACAGGAGCAGTGCTGATGGTGCGCTCTTTTCTTGAAATCCTCACGTTGCTACGCAGAACTTTTCGGATCCTTATTCTGAAATAGAGAGATGAGACAAGGAATCTTTAGAGGTGCGAAAAAGTAGCATCCGGGGGAAATCAATCCCCTTTATACTCTAGCCTTGGATTTCGTTCACCGACATTTCCCAAACAGAGATTTTATTTTAATGGGTTCAACAACCGTTTTGACATAATACGTGTAGTCGTTTCAAAAGTTAGCCCTTTCTGCATTTTGGCGTTCTGTGGCTTACATTTAGTACAGATCATCGTTGATCTGATCTGAACGAAGAGAAAAAGACCGAAGACAAAGTGAGCCGTGAGAAAATCGAGCGATTGAGTGATGTAAAAAATGGCAAATTGTTTTCTTTGGGGG